CAGTTACTCACAACGCAAAAATACACAAACGCAAATAGTACAAAATTACATACCCTCGTCTCCTCCATTTAACGAGCGATGAGAAAATATAAATAAAAAACGTACAAATAACATATTATAACCCTGCAATAAGTGTACGCACACATGCAACACACAGTGGCCACGCTTATTAAAAAAAAGGAATATAAAAGTACGGGAGAAAAAAAATAGGGGGGTAGAGGGAAATTCGCGTCGTCGAGTCAAGATTTATTAATCAGACAGTTATGTATACAGTTAGCGCGACGTGACCGCGGCTCTACGACAACGACGATGACCCACAGCGTAAACAATAAACATCCATGGAGCGACATATCGATTCGGCGAGACATAAAACGCCGAATCTATAATCGTCGGTTGTGCATTTATCTGACGTTTACATATATACAATAAATACTCCAGCCGCTTACGATTAAGGGGGTAGGGGGTGGGTGGCGTAACTCGCTCGTTCATTCATAAGTTTCACACCCCTCGGCACGCAATGTGGCTAGTGCGTACGATTACTTGAACAAAACCTGCATGGACGCTAATCAACGGGGTAAATTCGGCTTACTTTCGGAAAGCGCATGAAACTCGAACGAGAGGCAATCAAGCTCGTGGCTCTGCGAGCTAAGAGAAAAGGAGCGCGATGGGGGATGAGGGGGGGGGGGGTTTCATTCAAGAAGAAAAAAGAAAGAAAGCTTCAACGCTTATTTGGCCATGCAAAAAGCAGGGGGAGGAGACAGCGAGGAGGAAAAAAAGGCCGCTGAAGGAAAAAAAGATGTGGAGGGGGGGGGAGGAGAGGTGACGCGTGTGTGTGTCAATGTACGGTATACACGTATAGTGTTCTTGAAAGTAGCGTGTATCATGTGCACATACACAAGTGTGGGGGAGAGAGAGAGAGAGAGAGCAGCAGCATAAATATAAAGAGCATCAGCACCACTCACCCGAGTACTTGTCCGACGTCGGCTTGGGCGTCGAGGCCATGGTTATCTCCTTCGCTGCAGCTTCCTCGTTTCTCCTCCACCTCCACTTTGTCTTCGTCGTCTTCCTCTTTTAACCACTGTACAGCTCCCCCGTCTCGTTATTATTCTTTTTCTTTTTTTTTTTTTTTTTTTTTTTTTTTTTTTGGCGTCGTGCAGGAATTTCTCTTGTACAAGAAAGTCATTCAATGTCATTGTTTAGAAGTAATAAATAAATATTTAAAATTATCTTGAATTTTTAGTCGTCGCTTCAAAGAGGACCAACAAGTCATCCTCATGCTTCTCAAGATTGCTCATTAAATTAGTCCCACAGACTTCGGTTGGTAAACTTTAGAGGTCGTACTTTTTAAAATTAATAAGGATTGCGAAGAAAATGTTTGTCCAGCAAAAATCAATCAGCTACAACACCTAAAAACGTATTTTAAATGAATAACGCTGCTGCGCACAGCCTGAAGATCCCTTGAAAATTCATCGCACCGTCTCCGGTCGATTACACTTGGTAAACAAAGCGACCACCGAACAGCAGCATCAGAGAAGCGTCCAATTTAGAAACTGTACCCTGGACCGGCGGCAGCAGCGAGTCTCAAAAACCACCCGCACGGAATTTGCAAATCAACCACAAAGAACTTGCCGGTGATGTACCGCGCATACATGCTCTCACCACTTATCCAGTCTCCATCGTACAACTACATGTGTATATATACGTACGTGTACCGATCGTTTCCGTGCAGCACACGCGCGCAGACACATTAGCGCGCCGAATATTCATGAGAGAGCTTCCGAGCAAACTTGCATGGCTGATTGGTTTGGCTGCGAGAAGCTATAAGCGATTCCAACTGTATGCGCGAGCGGTGGTGTCTCCCCACAGGTAAAAGACACTCGGGAGGGGACCCCTTGGTTTGTGCGATTTATATTTCGTAAAAGTCAACGAGTGCATTACCATACATTTATTTTGTGCGGTATGGAAAAAGCAGCGCGTGTGGAATAATTTCGAGTTGGCGCGTGTATATCGGGGCCCAAGTACGAGAGCTTCGCATGTATACTATCTTTGGATTTGCATGTGCAATCTAGAAATCGAGAAAATTTGTAAAACTCGCTGCAGCTGCACGTGATGAAGGGGGAGGAAGTGTACACGAAGGTAAAAGTTAACTAATTATGAGTGACACGTGGTACGCTCGCCTGTGGGTTTTTTTTTCTTTTTTTTTTTTTTTTTTTTTGGTAACAAAAAAGGGAAAGGTCGTTTTTTGCAAGTTTTACTTCATCAACTTTGATTAGGCGATACTTGCGCATCTGAAAGGTCCTGGTTTTACGGAAAACATGATTTTTGGACAACCCGAGTAATTGTAGATTTTGCGGTGGAAATTCTATCAATCGACAATTTGTAATTTTTATTTTTTATCGATTACAATACCACATCCGACCAATATTATAATCCATCGAATCTTTCCATGGTACGGAAAATTTAATTTATTACATCATGAATTTGCTCTGCATCATTAAATGCAACATTCCAAAACAATGTCTTACCATACTTTACCTTAACCTACTGATTAAAAGTTGCCACATTGATAATTCGAAAGGAAACACCATCAGCAAATTATCATAAATCATCATTACCATTCAGAGTAATGCTAATAGCACGCATAGCATTCAGCATAATGTCAGGCTATAAATTACGAACAATACCTGATGAGCTCGGAAAAGCTCACACCGCCCATCATCGTTATTTCAAATTAAAAAAAAAAAAAAAGAAAAAAAAAAGAAACCAAAGCCGTGCATTTATCCTCCGCACGCAAGGAGCTTCCCAATTTGACCNTCACGCGCGCACGTGCATGTGTGTACGTTACATGATTTTCATCACAAAAAATATGAATGAAGATTGAAAATTCGGTTTTTTTTTTTTCACAACATGTCACGCGTACGAAACGCGTGGGCCTTTTCAGGGCCCGACGACAACGACGTCGTCCCCGCGACGCACACACTGCAGATTGTCGTCGTAATCGTCGTAGCTGCTGCCGCAACAGTGGCCAGCTAATAGTACACGACCGGCGCGCGCGCGCGCCTCCTCCTGATCCTGCAACACCACCACCTCCCTCCGAATCTCTTGGTGCTACTATTATTACCCCCCAATGGGGTTGTTCTTTTTTTAGTCCTTTCGCTCATTGTTTTATTTTAATTTTTTCTTTTTCTTTTTTCAATTCCACCCCACAGTGCATTAGCAACGCTTCTGGCTAATTTCTCCTTTTTTTTTTTTTTTTCGGGTGTTACACATATACGGGAAAAATTAAGTCCTGCCGCGTATCCATTGTATACATTATACAAATAACTGCACAAGCTATTAACACGATCGGCGATCGATCGCGTGCATCACCTACAGCACTTGGGAGCTGTTTCGCGGGCCCGCGCCCACGACCTGACCTCACACTATATTTGTGTGTGCTTTCCCTCTCTCTCTCTATCTCTCTCTCTTTCCACCCTCTGTGCGCATATATAGGTGCAATATATACACCGTGTGTACATCTACAGGTATAGATCACGTGTGCACGTACAAGCTGTTTTCTCTCCTGTGTTTCGTGGTGGTGCTATACGGCGTATAGACTTGGTGCTCGGAGAGAAAACAAAATCGCCTGCTATACTGTGCATTTGTGTACCATTATCTATGTCTCGGCGTCACCGGGGGTCATGATTGTCGTAAAACCAGCCGGCAGCTGCAGATGTGTTGTTTTACACACACTCGTCCTTTTTTTTAATGTACGGAAGGACGAAGGTGTCGATCGTCCCTCCCTTGTATACTCGTTGCACTTGTATGGGTTCGGTTTCGTTGTTTATTGCACTCCGTTGTGTACACACGGCATGAGATATTACGCGCACAAGCACCACCGTGGAGGGGGGTAAGTCTCGCGTGAAACACACTAGGGGGGGGGGGGGAAAAGAAAGAAGGAAAGAAAGAAAAAACCAGAGGAATGGTTACAACACGCGTATGATGGACGAGCGAGGGGCGCGTTACGTACGCGACTGAGTGTATATGAGAGCACGCTGTGCAGCCGGAGCTCTCCGGAGTCTCTGTGTCTTACTCGCGGCTGGCTGTATGTGGTGTATTTTTTTTTTTTTTTCTATTTTTCTTTTTTTTTTTGCACCCGCGACAGTGTACGTACATATACACCCACTCTCGCGCGTTACAACGATTCACGTTTGGGTTTCATCTGCTCTCGGTTGTGCTCGTGATGGCATACATTTTGGTTTACAAGCACATAGCGTGTGACTATTCCTTGCATCTTGTGCTCATATATGTATATGCAACGAAACGACTGATGGGGGGCTTGAATCGGGTGTGTGAGTGCGAATTCTCTCTCTCTCTCTCTCTCTCTCTCTCTCTTTCTCGATTTCGAACAGCATCCATCGTGAACCCGAACACTGTCTCGTTTCATCTTACCCCTCGGGGGGTATGCTTGGCTGGGGAACGACCGGGTGGCGATTCTTAGCGATTCGCACGACATCTGCTGGGGGTGTGCTGGCTTACCAGCTGTTGGGGGAACAATAACAGCAGCTAAGTAGCTCCGAAACTCCAAAACTCCAAAGTGATTTCCCCCAAGACTCCGAAATTATCTTGAATGTCCAATTTACCACTTGAATCGTTGTTCATTCAATTTTTTAATGTGTTTAATAATAATAATAATAATAATAAAATATACCGTTCATAAACGGTATACAAGTATGTATAACCGTTACGAGTTAGTAAATTAACCATCGAAGCGATGAAATATCTTTTAATAACGTTTGTCAAACAACAATGTATTGAGGAGCGATCAATGACAAACGTTTGAATTTGCCGCTGAATAGACGAGAGAGAAAAATTAAATATCCCCCCGAAACCACCCACGCATGTCTATGTATATATACCTTTAAATATACACAGTGCGTGGAGTGCGTCTGCTCTGCATTGTTGACAAAACTGAAACAAAACATATATATATATAATTGGCTGACGTGTATAGTGTACACGTATATACATAGGTGCAGGAGAGGGTCGAGAATAACTCGTCGCTTGACAGTTCTACACCTCGTTTGACAGTATATACGGAGAGGGAATTCACACGTTGAACGCATTGAGGTTAGCTGGCTTTCAGCGCATGCTAACCTCAATGCGTTCAACGTTGAATTTCCTCTCCGTGATTGTGTTTATTGACGACGTCCCCCTTGGGGGAAAAAAAAAGAAAATTCATTACGTGTGCGTTTAAAGTGCATCGAGTGACCCGCAGCGATAAATGAAGGAAACCTCGGAGATATAGAAAAATCGGAGCTGCTGATCGAGGGTGTTCCAGGACACGATCAGCTTACATGGATGACATTATATTGTGAGGTTATATTATACATGTTGTGGGCTGAGCAAGTGAACAGAGGAAAATATATACCATACACACAGCCGTCAAGTGTGCAGCACTGATTACTCGCTCGGGCGGGAGATTCGAATCGACAAACCGCGCGGGTCCTGCGGAAGAAATAAGCAACGGATAGCCCACACAACTGGTCTTTTACTATCGACAACAAAGTTTTTCTACTTTTTCAAACGCGCACAAAAATGGGCAACTTGGGCCTGAGACCGCACTACGAGACGTCCAAGAGGACGGGCGCGCTGAATCTGTCGCAGCGCAACCTGGACGAGTTCCCGCAGCAGCTGGCCACTCTGGATCAGCTGCGTAACCTCGATCTCTCCTCGAACAAATTTTCCAGACTACCCAGCGAAGTTGGGAAATTTTCCCTCCTCAAGCAGCTCAACGTCAGTGGAAATCGGCTCACCGAACTCCCCGATATCATAGGCGATCTCGTCAAGCTCGAGACACTCAATGCCAGCTTCAATAAAATCGGCGCTCTCCCGAGCTCCCTCGCCAAACTTTCGCATCTCAAGCAAGTACGCTGAAAGTTACATGTATGGTACCGAGATCGAATCGGCAAGAGGCTTTTTATCTTAGATAAATATCGTTAACGCGTTTGGAACGTCATATAGTCGTGAAATCGTTAACCGATCGGCAGTGCCGTATAGTATCCGATCGCAGAGTACTATTCACGATAATTAGAACTGTTTCTTCTGTTTGCAGGTAAATCTCTCGGACAATCGGTTGACCGATTTCCCACGGATGTTTTGCGGTATGCGTCATCTCGATCTTTTGGACCTGTCGCACAATAAAATAACTTCGATACCGGACGAGGCGTCCGATCTCTACGTGACCGAGTTGAACCTCAACAAGAACCAAATAAGCTCGATCTCGCCGAATTTGGCCGACTGCCCGAGACTGAAGACGCTCCGTCTGGAGGAGAACTGCCTGAAACTCGACGCCATCCACAAGCGCATCCTCGAGGACTCAAAGATTTCGGTGCTTGCGGTCGAGGGAAATCTGTTCGAGATGAAGCAATTGGCTGACTTGGATGGGTACGACAAGTACATGGAGAGGTACACGGCTGTCAAGAAGAAGATGTTTTAGGTGATCATTGCGAGACCAATTGCTAAGTATTTTCCAAGTGTTTGCACTTTGGTTCTTTTGAGGATTTCAAACGATGAGAACTATTTTTTCTAAACTTAGAAATTACAATTTTTGAATCGAGTGATAAAAAGTTTTCTTATGTTATCATTTCGAAATTGAAATCTTTGATTTTTCCCCACCTAATTTTTGTTTTGATGCAGTTCATAAGCAAACGTACAATATATATAATTTTGAAAACCCTACAGGTTATGGAAAGTGTATGATACACTTATAACCACCTATTTTTGGTAACTGACATTCAGTTTTATTCGAATTATAGCGCTGTAACTCTGGTAATAGTTTGCATCTCTTTTATATTATTTTATTTAATAACTAATGTACTATAAAAATAATATACGATACTATTATAATGATCAGAAAATTTCTTTAGTCTAAGGAAAATTATTTCTGAGCTTGCGAACGCTGATTTTCAGATCGAGCGTTAGTTAACTTTATTATGTTCTTACTACAAATACAAATTTGGGCTTCTTCACCTACACAGTTATTATTTTTAAGTATGTTATAAGCAAACTATCAAGATATAAAACTTGAAAAACATTGCAGGTTAAGAAAAGTATATGAAACACGTCAGCAACCAATTTTGCGTCGCTGACAATCAGTTTCATTCGGCGTAAAGCGTTGTAACTCAGTTAATAGGTATTTACATCTCTATTTATTTTGTGACTTAGCTAATTGTAAGCTATTACAACAGTATACTTTACTATAATAACGATTCATACTAAGAAAAAATTTTTCTGAGCTCAGAAACGCCGATTTTCGAAACTAGTCGTACTACCCTTTGATGTTCTTATATATAAAATGAACTTTATAGTTCTTTACCTGCATAGTTTGTGTTTTTATGTAGATTGTTATCGAACAAACAATACTTATAATTTTTAGATAATTTTATATTAAGGAAAATGCACGACACGGTTCTAACTACCGATTTCTCGTCACGGGCACTCAGTTCTATCCGATGTATAGCACTCTGGCTCTGGTAAAATGTTTCACATTCTTATTGTTTTTTTTTTTTTATTTGATAACTGTTGAGCCATTGCAACAATAACCTTCACTATAATTATGAAATATGTTTAGAAAATTTTTTTCTAAACTCATTTGCGATGATTTGCAAATCTAATTAAAGTAAACTTTTTTACGATTTCATCTATAAATAATGATATTATATACCTGCTAATTCTTTTTTTTATGCAGCTTATGAGNTTTTTTTTTTTTTTTTTTTCATACCGCCAGGAATTAGCTTTACTTCATTATCATTTACTTTTAGCATAATACTTTACTTCAAGCATAATCTTTTTAACTCTAAAAAATGCTAAATTTTCGCTGATGTTACGTAGTTTGGTTATCTGAAGTTTTGTTTGTACGGCATCGAAGAATTTTTACATTTGTAAAAATTAAAAAAATTTTCCCTGAAAGTCATGAATTGTCAAAGTGTTTAAATGATATTCTATGTGATGTACGATTAATATTAACGATATTACGGTGTTGAAAACTATGTGCACGATTAGTCAAACGATTTTCGAAAACAATTTTTTGCTCTACGACAAATCACGAGGTTTTGACGCAACAGTTTACATTATTTGATATTAACTTGGCAAATACGCAAACCGTTTCTTTTAATCAAGAATAGAATACGGTGTATTGCAATTTTGTTTAAATGTACTTAGGTATTTTTTGAAAATAATATACGAGTATATTGTACATAATGATAACCGATGATGATACTACGAGCGTTTTTATTGACACGTTCGCAGCTCTGAATGTATATTTATATAAATGTGTAAAAATAAACTCTGCAACACCTACTAAAAACATCGTACTTATCAAACCCTAAAAAATTCCCCTTAAAAAAACCATACAATGTGATGAAATCAAAGTCACACTGGTCGCCAAAGTCACCCGAGCGTGTCATCTGCAACGTATACTGAACGCACAGCGATGCAATGATGCATAAAACAAAGAAGAGAGAAAGATCACTCCCCTGTAAACCGCAGTATAGAAATAGGTACATTCATCGATGTGAAAACGTTGATTCACGCAATCAAGGAAATAAAATTCTTGCGACATTGAAATTCATACTAGAACGAATACGAGAGTTGAAGTAAAATGTATGTAAATCATTTAGCTCAAATCCAAGCGTATATGCTTATAAACGCTTCCGATTTATTTACTTTTGCAGCGAAAAAAATCATATGAAACCACTTTTTTTATCAAATTTGGAGTATTTTCGATACCACTTCTCCTTTTACCGTATATATTTTTGAAGAACAAAAATAAAGGGTGTACCACAAAACTGGCCAAACCCAAGAACCAACTACTTACTGACTGAGTGTAATTCTAAGTCTGCATGTATACTGTACCACTCAAAAATACGTGTGTTTAAATTTTGGTTCAATTTTCTCCAAGAAATATCGATGTACACGAGTATTAAGTACGTACACACTCGTATTTATACATACGGACACAATTATACCGTTTCTCCACCTCCGGCGCATTACCTATATCCTCGTTTGTACGGCATCGCATTATTTTCGGAGTCCCTCGTCTTTTCGCGTGGTGTATGTATACGTGCACATGTGTGCCAATACAATGCAGCAGATGTATGTATGAGAAAAAGCGAAATAAGAGAAGAGCAAGGAACGAGAGCAAAGGTGAACATGTAAGTAATGGGTGTACAAGGTCTCGTCCCCGATGCCCACCATCTTATGGGAGGTAAAAGGGCCTTTGTGGTGGATTCATACACGTACGTGTAGGTGGTATACATTGTGTGCTCGCAGGGTTCCTCCAGTCCCTTTAATCTTTGGAAAAATTTTGCTTTTTCTCCTCCGATTGGAGACGTGTACATCGATGGAAACACGACCCGAGCGTTTTATACGTATTACGCGTGTGGGTAAAAGTGTATTTTATGTGAAATAAGATTCGGAGTATCAAGTACCCATCCCATTTCACACGATCTCCCTTTGTTTGGTAAATGATGATGACTAAAATGGGACTAAAACGATCCAAAGTTACGTAATACCATTCCAAGTTGTTAATTATATAAGCAAAGATCAAATGATACCCGTAAATATAGATGACGAATAGTCCAACAGACATTTAAACGCATCACTCATCTTTACTATGAATACGTGAGTGCGCATTTTTTCTCAAGTTTTTAAGATAGAAGTAAGTATCCTTTATGCGACGAATAAATAATATACATACAGGTACCCACGAGTCACGATATGCACGTGCAAACGCTCCCTCCGTGGGTGGTCCGCGCGCGTATTCATTAATAACTGCAACAAATCACTTTGGGTGCATTTAGCGTAGGGGAAAAAAAAAATATGTTAACCATTTTTATTTACCATTGCACGAGCTTTTGTTGGTACTTATTGTTAACTTTTTTTTCTTTATTTCAGGTGCAGGAAACATAATTAGGTGGGATGAAAGGCAACATATTCATTTATGTCCATGTACGTATACGAAATCCCTTGGGAGGTATACCATACACAATGAGCAAACCTATCATCACAGCCGTCGACTCGAACAAAACGCTCGTCGCTTCTCTTCGTACTTTTTTTTTTTTTTTTTTTTACCTGCATGAGAAATTCCGCAAAGAATTTGGGAAATCACAAAAAAGTATCCAACACACGACTTTAACACTTTTGTATATTTTGCAAGATTTTTTATGTATTTTGCCCCAGAACACCAGAATTTTGTTTATTATTGCTTATACTTTCAGGACAAAGAAATGCCTACTTGATTTGAAAATCGAGAAAGTTCTAAATAACGTTATTTTTCGCAAATTCACCGATTGCTCGGATAATTGCAGGAAAATCTGGAAAAACTATTTATTTTTTTTTTTGCGGAACTCCTCTCGTTGATACACCCACACGCGCATCATGCGAGCAAAATATATGCGTTCAGTCAGAAGCGCTTAAAGCCCAGCCTACAACAGTGGCATTTTGAAAAACGGCTGTATACGCACGCGAGAGCGAACTGTACGCCTTTGGCGCGCTGGAACTTTGGATTATCCATTTTGACGCTGCTGCGACGACGTAAGTAGGCGGCCGCTCTGGTGAGCGGAAAATTTTCCGGTTTCTGCTCTTTCCCTCGGAATTTGAGCGCAACGACTTGCCGGTGTTTAGATATACGTGCGTTCGACCGATGTTAGGCTTTTGTTGTTAATTTATATACCTTTGCTCATTTTGAACGTTAAAATCCATAAAGTACTCGATTGTTAACTGCTCTGATTCACCATTGCTCGATGTTTGTGTGAATATATTTGTTTGAGAATATTGAGGAGAAAACGGAAATTGCCGCTCATACATTTCCATTGTATACTAAACGAACAACTTACTATGTAGGTATATGATATACGCGTACTTGTTTTCGTGCCTTATCACCATCATCAATTCAGTAGACTGGCGTGGGCCGCAATGATTTATATACTTTTTACTCGAGACACTGAAACAACTCTCGCCGGTCGATACAACTACAACACCAGAAGTGTATGTTTTTTTATACGTAGTTTTATAAAATAATTTTAAACAGTATGTTTTTTTTTTGTTTTTTTTTTTTCAATGTACTTCAATTTTTCTCACTCGATTAGTTTTTAAACGGTCAGACGTTAATGATCAACGTCGCAAAAAAAAAGCTTTTTAAGGCGTATAAAGTACTCAAACGTTTTAAGTGTATATGGTTTTGTTATGGACCTCATAAAAGTGTCGATCTAATGACGACAGTTTTCATAAATGAATACTCACAAACATGCACATTACTAATAGCTCATAAGTATAGATTGAAACTCACAAAGTATAAACTTTAAAGAGTGGATGGTCAGTGCAAATCGTTTCAAGTACAGGAAGCGTCGTTGCAACGGCATTTGAATAATACGTTCCTGAAACCAAGTTTAACATGGGTTTATACACATAAAATAAAATTTAACACAATAATAAATGTTTTTCTACAAAACTTACTCGTCTTGTGTGTGTGTTTGTATCGTCACAGGTACTGAGAAATCGAGCTGTTATCGTTTTTTCAATATCCCTATGGAAGATAAAAATTATCTATGGCTCGAATCGTTGGAGACTTATTGACAAAGTAAGTATGGCAATGATAAAAAGCTCCTCCCATCAGGTGTCGATTTATAGCTGCCAACTTGTATTGTTATAGGTAGATAATCGTTAATCCATCGCAACGTTTTGATAACCCTGTAAGTTCAAAAATCTGTTTAATAATGCATACAAATATACGTTACTTAATTAATTAAAAAGAAGCATTTTAGTGACATAACAAAAGTTAACACACAAACATTTTATACTTATTACAACTGTGTATGTAGGTACTCGTTCATCAAACACAAAAATCGGATCTGTAAGTACTGGGCAGAAAGTAACACCAACAGTGACCCATCAGCAAAATTTTACCATTAGGTAATTAAGTACAAATCCCAAGCTTGGATATAACAGTTGGTAAAAGCACTGAACTCAATGATGTGATAAAAAGAGTGTTGGGTGAGAGGAAGGAGGAGTACTTAAGTATAATACAACGAGACGAGAGTAAAGAACGAAAAATGGAGAGAGAGAGAGAGGAAGGCGACGAAATAGAAGGTGGAAGAGGAGAAAAAGAAGAGAGAGGCGGTACACGTAGTGCACGACATGTATTGTGTCGTATAGAGTTTTAGGTAGCTGAGCGCAAAGGGTGGAGGAAAAAAAAGGACAACGAACCTGGTGGTCGGTCGGTCGGCGCGGCGGAGCAGGCATAGGTTATGTATATTGTATACCTATATACGACGAGTGCGCGCCGACGACGACGAGCGAGAGCGGCAGCGGCCATCTTTGCGTTCCATGTCTGTATATAATATGCATGTGTGTTTTTACACACACACACACACATAGCACGTTACAGTATTACACCATAGATAGATGTAGAGTGTAGAGAGAGAGAGAGCATGGAGAGTATTGGAGAGTGCGTGACGCGTGTATAAACGGAGACGGTTGCAGAACGAGCTTAAAAGCTCACCGGGTAATGACCGTCTCCGCCGCTGCCGCCGCCAGCACAGCTTCGACATTCGCCGCCGCCACCGCCAGACGGTCGGTGTAGGCACCGTGTAAACTTTGTAGAGTGTGTATATTATAGGTTGTATGGGTATCGCGTTACATTTTAGTTTCGTTTTCGTCTCTCGTGTGTTGTTGCGTATACGCGGAATGCCCGTGTGTTGTTGCCTCGAAGATGGCGGACGTGTTGCAGGCATCAGCGGCTCCCCCAGCTTCTTCATCTTCTGATGCTCAACCCCCAGGACTGTAGCAGACATCATCATCCTTCCATCCCCGACAGTGTCTCTTTCCCTCAGCGCCAGCTGACGACTGACTTGACTCCACCTCTTTTGCTTCAAGGCCGCCGTCGTCTAATCTAATCTCTCTCTCTCTTTCTCTTTCGGATCTGTGCACACATATACTGCGAGGGAAAAGGAAACTTGCGGACTGAATTAGTGCATACTCGAAACGAGAGGGAAAGTGTTGTGTGTCTGCTGTATTTACGTTTACGCGCGCACGAGAGTCTGCGGGCTTCTTCTCGGAAGTGCTGTAACACACATTTACCGCAGTCACTTATAAAGAATATACACATCAACGAGAGGAGGCGGCCACTGCCTTCTTTTTTCCTTCTCCTTCTTCACCTTCGTTTCTCCTTTCTTCTTCTTCTTCTTTTTCTATTCGTTCTCTTCGTCGTCGCCCAGTTCACCCTTGAAGGATGCCCCCCCCCTCTCTCCTCTCACCCCGCCTGGACGACTAAGCTGTAGTAGTAATTAGGAGAGAGAGAGGTTTTTTTGCAAGTGCGCGTACCAGCGGTGTTTCTTCTCCCAAAGTCGTCTCCTGGGTATAGAGTCAGACGACTCTTGTGTGTTCATAGCTGACGAGGAGTTCATCGACGTCGACCTGTAGATTCACGAGAGAGACTATCATGGGGCGCAACAGCTTGATGCCCGGGAGGAGCAGCGTCTGATATGGAGCCTAGTTACACTGAGGTAGGGGAGTGTGTATACCTAATACGATGTGTATCGGTCGATGTTTTTGATGCAGTATATTTGAGTACCCTGGTTAAGGTAGTACTGGCACAGGAGATTGAGAAGCTAGATGAGAGTACGTAGGTGGTTGAGACTACTGGGAGTTTGCGTGCCTTGCAGTGCGTTGATCTGGGATTTAAATGTGTCAGGGTAATTGCTGTTTACCTTTTTTTTATTGCACTTGGCCTTTTAAACAGCTGTGCTTTAATTTTAGGGGTAATCACTACCAAAGAGTTCAACTCAATGAAGTAAACAAGTTTTATGAAAAAAAAAATTTATTTATCCAATCTACTGGATTTTCGTGTTTGAACTGAAGGTTAAACCTACCTTTTTTGTACATCCCAACACAATATTAAATTAAATACAAACTTGTAAAATAGTAGCAATCAGTACCTTTCGATAATTCGTATTTAAGATTATTAATGACAAAGCATAGACAATGTCATTCTAACTATTTCATAGGCTATAAATTATTACTCAATTTTATTGAATCAACCTCTAACATATTAATACTCACCATACTGACATCTGGGCAATATTCAAATACGCTGTGTAAGAATTATTTTGCCACATTTACTACTTACTTACTCTTTCTCTTTTCCCATGTGGCTAAATCAGATTGTAGCGGATAGGCTCTAGTCAAATCTTCAACACAGTAAGACAATGCCATTCATAGCAAAAGAAGATAAGATGACAGAGTCTGAGGATAGCTTGATATCACCAGACAGTACAACAAGGGAACGTTGTGGATTTGTACCTGGAGACGATGTTCTTCTCCATAAACACGATGGAAAGTTTTATCTGGGAACAGTTGTACAGGTATTTAATTTACCATAAAATGTTTTCTATTTTACGTTTTGAACACTACAAGGTTCATATTTCGTAGGTTGATGTTACAAGTGAAAAGTGTTACATCAAATTTTTGGATGGCTCCGACGATTGGTCGCCAGTGAAAGATCTGACAAAACTTAATACCAATTCGGACGTCTGTGTTGTGTGTAAGAATTCGCAGCCTGTTGAAGTTGTTGCTTGTGATGACTGTGGCCGCAAATATCATCAGTTTTGCCACGATGTAATTTGATTGAATCTTTAAAACTTTATTCTTGTATCATTTAGTGTGATAACTATTTTTTATACTTATATAATTCTAGCCGTACATCGAAAATGAGTACACACTTCCCAGTGCAATGTGGCATTGTAAAAAGTGCAAGACCACAAATCCTGTTTCACCGAGTAAGGCGATTTCTGAGCCCAGATTAGACACCAAAACTATTACAGAATCCAAAACTCAATCAGAGCCCAGAAACTTCCTAGAGGTAAAACCTCATAAAGAAGTCAAAAAGTCTATGGTTAAAGAGAGTATAAGGAAACTTTGCAGTGGTAGAGATCAACGATTACCTCTACCAGATGACAGAACAAAGTTACCTTATGACGTAAGTGTTAAAGTCACATTCAGATTAAAATAAACGATCGTTACTGATTCATAAAAATTGTTGCAGCCTGATAGGTTGAACTGGGATGCGCATCACAGAGTGAATGACGAGCAAATATATTGTTATTGCGGTCTAAATGGTGAATGGTATACACAAATGTTGCAATGTGCTCGTTGTAGACAGTGGTTTCACGAAAAGTGTATCGGTTGTTTATCTTATCCACTTTACAGTGGTGATCGGTATGTTCAAGTTTTTATTTCACATTGTACCATGCATCATCTCAACAACGCGTTGTGACTAAAACTGTTTTCCTACAGATTTTACGTGTTCGTCTGTTCAATGTGCAATTACGGAAAAGAATTTGTGCGGCGACTAGAATTGAAGTGGGTTGATCTTGTGCACTTGATGTTGTACAACCTTACAGTGTATAACGCCAAGAAGTACTACGATTTTGACACTGTAATTATTCCTTATGCAAACGATAATTGGCAAACATTACAGTTACCTCCGAGAGTAAGTAAACAAACAAAAGAAACTAAAAATACTTGAGCGATTGTACTATAACCAATGAATTTTTGCGCAGATTCGTGACGTTAGTGAAAGGATCCGTAAAGAATCCATCCTTGCAGTTCTAGCCACCAATAGATCTAGGTTTAAATGCGGTCGAGAAATAAAAAAGCGCACCACTATTTGGGGCCTGAGGCAAAGACTCCCACCACCAAGTCCACAGGTTAATCTTCCCCCTTCCGGCATTGTTGATGACACTGTACTGAATCAATGCTGCTGTTCTGGCAAAAGACTGCAATTTCTGACACCGGCTACTGGGTGCGTAAAAGAATCTAATTAATAATTGAAACGAATCCAAACATACTAATTTGCATTTTTTTAAGCCTTAAATAAAAATTAATCATAAATTCCTGTATTGTTTTAGAGCTTTGGCATCACCAGAAAGTACAAAACAATTGCAAAATTTGAATCAGAGGTTGGCAGAAAGTTTAGAGATACCTGTCAATCCATCAGATGTTATGCGAGGTACAATCTATCAAAATTCAGAAGTGGACCCAAACTCCAACCCCAGTCTGGCGAATCCGTTATCTCAATCTCTAAAAGACAGGTAAATGACATTTAAAATGCTAAACATACACTAACCTATTTGTTTTCTTTATTTCTTTCTGTTTGACTCTCAACATTCTAATAAGTTACATCTTGATCTATAGAAACAAAAGAAAGTCGCATTTAACACGCTTTGCTAACCTATACGCTACCTAATGTAAACAACTATTTTTCCTTATGAGATACTACTAAAAAAAAAAAATTTCTCGCAGATACAGTGGTGGCGGCTTTGTGAAAAAATCGGTGCCATTTCCTAAACTGAGTCTGCAGAGACGACGACGTCTTCAGTCCCGCGAGCGATTGCTGCGTAAGCAAAAAAAGCGCGACAAATTGATCACGGAGGTTACAAGCTGTGACGGAATTAGAGAGGCCAGGTATCGCCAGGCCCGGAAGCTATTGAAAAACGCCATAAAAATCGGCAAGTGCCAGCTACCCAAAGAAAACCCAGACCTGCCACCCACGCCGCCAACCTCGGTCTCGAGCCCACCGACACCTCCAGCGACGTCGTCCGGTATGTCAGAGCTATCGGTACCCGATAACTCGAGCTCTATCGACCTGATGAATCCGCTAGCAACACCATCGACGCCCGCGGACACGAGCGGTGACGAGACGAGCTCACGCGGCACCCTTGACTCTTTTATCCCACCGCCCAAGGATTTCGAGGGCAAGAACCATCCGTTCCGTAATCTGCTTGGCGAGCTTCTGGGCATACCCTTGTCCACGTCATCAAAGCTAACCTGTCAGTCGTCAAATCAGAGCAGCAACATGTGCGATTCGAACTGCAACAACAGCATCTACAATGTGCCGATAACGCTGCCCTTGCCCTTGACGCCTGTTATAACAGAGCCACCACCGATGCGACCGACAAAGCGACAGCTGTCTGAGAAAGACATCATCATCGATAGGAACGGCCAAGTGAAGCGTAGAAGGCAGCACAGGCGCGGTCGACCTCCACAGTCCCAAGCACTGGTTAGTCACACAAAAATACTTGGAAAAAATTTACAGCTTTGAAATTTCCAATCAAGTTATTCAAATATATGTTTTTTTTTTTTTTTTTTTCTTCCACAGGGCTACCAACCAACGGCTAGCAAAACAGCCACGTACCAGCCAGCTCGGAGTACCGAGGTGAAAAACGGCGAATACGCGCGCACCTTGCGTAGTTCCTTCAACAACGCGCAGCATCCGCAAATCGGCAAGTACATGGATTACGCGCTGAATGGGCGAAAGCTGCGCCAACGAAATGCGAGCGCTGACAAGCTGCAGCCACCTCCGATCTTTCCAGAGACAAGTAACGCTAATGGCTCACTGACAGCCAATACAACAAACATGCCACCGCCTCAGCAACAGATGAACAGCGGTTGTGGCAACTGCAGTCTGTCGAACTCACCAAACAAGCAGTGCTCGCCGGTTAAGCAAAACCCACCGGAAATACCGGGTCAAGACCTCAAATCTTCGGTAACTACTTATTTCAGTGCGGCGAATCGTGTTGCCTCCGGCGAGAAGTACTCTATTAAAGCCATGAGGACATTACCCAACGGTAAAGTAGAATATATGTTAGATTGGTCTACATAACGGATTCAATAAAGCGTGTATGTTTGGACTGTTGCTGCTCTCACTTTAAACTACATTTTTTTTTTTTTTTGTACCAAAACTCGAATTTTTTGACAATCAGCATTTTACGCTCGGTGAGTAGTGGTTTTTCTTTTTCTTTTATTTGCGTGCATTGCGACTTTACGTAAGGACTGTAAATTATTCTTGCAAAAATGTATGATTACCGTTGAGTAAAGTACGTTGTGTTTTTTCTTCTTTTTTTGCAGTTAAATTTTTACCGAACAAAACAATTGTCAGAACAAAACTCGGAAAAAAGACAAAAAGTTAAATATCAGTACATGCATTTGTTATTTTCCAACTGTATTTTTTATTGAACAATTTACAATCATAAGCAATGCATTAGTTTTTCTAAATATAATTTTACAGAACAATTTCGTCGCTAGTCGGTAACTATGCTCAAGTTTGAAAATACTAACCCAGCGCGTAAGAATTGCAAATTATTTTATATTTCAATCATTGAATTACGTGCATGTATACCGTCCACGTTTAAACATCAGTATGGAAAACAAATATTTCTAAAAGATTTCTGGAAATCCGAACACACTCACACAAGTCCTACTCGGCTCACACTTAACATAAATATTTCGTACTGCATACTTATTTAATGTTATTTGCAGACAAGTAATTTTAGCGAAAAGAAAGTCGGTACAAGCTGCGTAAGCGTTGAAATTGGGCGACTTTCGTAAACGAAAGTCAGTAAAACTAATAATCGGTATAATTAAAGAATAAATAAACCGATTGTTCCTCGATAAAAATAAACAGGCGTAATGATTAATGAATACGAGTAGAGAATTGATCTAGATCTGCGGAAAATTATTTTTCGATACAAAGCTAGTCTTGAATGTCGGTCGTCAATCCCATACAATACGTCATTACCAACTACTCCAATTGTTCCCTCAGCCCAACTTGAATGTAATTACATGTTTTTTGAATATTACTATTGAAACAGAACCAAAAAATTATTATTCACATTGTCTGTACAAAAATTTACATAAAATTTTTTCACCTAATTCATCCATAAAAATCTTTGTAAGAATTAATAGTAAGTATTCGTACGGCATGTTTTCATAATAATTCGGAAAACAATCGATGTATGGATGAGCTTATTACGTAATTCTTCTAGGTTTTTAAAAGTCTTTTTACATCACAAATTTTTACAATTTTGTACGAAAAAATTGTGTAGTCTCGTCAATTTTATTAATAAACATACCGTCACTTTGATCTTAGAGTAACTCAAAGGACAAATCCAAAGTATTTTAGGTCGACTGCGTACGAACAAGACAAAAAAATACTTCTATCGTTTATGTTCATCAACTCCTTTCTCACGATCCTAATAAAAAACATATATTTTTTTAAGTTTCTGTATAAAAAACGTAATCAGCGATGGTCTCAATGTTTTTACTAATTACTTATTGCTCAAACGCTTCTTTTTCCCAGCCATGAAAAACAATTAGTCGTGGTATAAAATTATTTTACGTACAAGCAATGTGTGCAATCGCAATTAAATTGCGAAAAAATTGATAAAGACAATGTCCCGTCAACTAGAACAAGGAAAGTAAGTATACTATGATTAAGTTACAATACACTGCCAAACATATTTTACGATTAAATGAATGAGGATGTATGAAGTGATGTGTATCAATACTAAACTTATTATTTCATTCGTAAGTAGTTTCTAAAATTTTTACTACCGTTTAAACAAGTTTTTTGTACCTAAGAGAGAAAAATCCGAGTGAAATGTAGAGAGTAAACCAGCTTAACAAAACTTTGTTAACTTTTGTAAGTATATCGTGTCGAACAAAGTAATCTAATTTGGATCGCGAATAAATATCGTAAACTTGATATTAATAAGAAAAAAAATTTTTAAATATTCCGGTTTGGTGATGAGTTTTGAAAATTCGGAACCTAAAGCTCTTTATAAGATTGGCTCATTTGATGATTCCTAGTTAAAGTATAAGACGTTTTTAAAGTTACGTGGATTCTAGCAATCATTTGTTTGAATAATAAATCGAATAAATTTGGTACAAAATTTTAAATCACAAAACACAGCCGAGAGAAAATTATTTAAATTCTTCAAATGGTCTTTTCTGCGTATGTTTAAGACTAAATTGTAAATTTATCGATGTTTTCGCCGAAGTTTGTAGAAAAAAAAATAATTGTATATTTTTCATAAACAACAAGATGTATATTTTTATTATATTTTCAAAGTACTTCTGAAAGCACTAATCAATTTTTGAGGGTTGTTCTCTCGGCTGAAACTAACGAAAATTGAAATTAGCCATGTGTAATTTAATGAGAAATTATAGAGCTTAGGCCTTGATTATTAGGTAGTACATTTTAAAAAATTCCAAAGGCTGTCGAGAGCGGTTTGCATAGTGTATAACGAGAAAAAAAATATTATGTGGTCGTACTTGGGCAATACACATTTTTTTGTCTCATAACGATCACATACTTTATTGAAAAAATTTTCTAAATTCTTTCGAAATGGTCCGAATTGAAAAAAGTAATAAAAGAAAATTTCTCAAACGGTCGAGCTCTGCTAAACAAAGTTAACGAAAAAAAAAAAAAAAAAAAAAAAAAAAAAAACGGACACGAAACAAGTTTGACGAAAAATTACTGCCAGTATGTCGTTAATAGTGTATATACCGATTCTTTATATTTATATATACACAGTTGTGTAACGGAGAATGCGCTCGTGCGTTTACGTGTGTATTTGTAAACACGTAAGTTTAAACATTAAAAAGTAGCTTGATAAAAATAAGTTTTAATGTACTTGGTACAAGTTTATATTATGGCGTTACGAATTTGTAAGGATGTATGTGATACTTGTAATAGAACAAATAAAAATCGATTGACTATATATTATTATTATGTTCAGCTCGTAAGTTCCATATGATGGTGGAATTGATGTCGGGATAATGCTCGTCCTGGTTTTTTCAATTGTTTGAAAAAAAATAAAACTAAAAAAAACTATAATCGAATCACAGTGATCAATCGATATATCAATGATTTTCAGTATTTAAATGATATTGTGAAGATCAGAAAAACTTAGTGCGAATTAAATGAATATAGAATTATTTCAATTTTCGTATCAATGTGTTTCAGCTTATATGCTGCCAAGTAAAATGTACGCAAGTTATTGATAGTTACATTACAGAATCGAATAATAATTAGACTGGGTAACTTATGTACGACTGAATAATTTATGCAAAACATATGAATGATTCATTCTTCAATAAAGATTTTGTTCGTTCGTTGATTTTTGTTTTATCTTGTGATTTAATGAGATGGTTTGATTTTCTCTTGAGTAAAAAGAGTAAAACACATTTTTGTTGTTGTTCATTGGCGTCTATTTGAATGTTTTAGCATATAGGTATAAGCTGTAAATGCCTAGCGATTAATTGAAAATTACGTACTGTGTGGTACGTTCACGCTCATAATTAGGTCTACGTTATAATATACTTTTGTACATAATGAAACATCAATGAGGCATATGATTACTCTAAGATGAGTTCATAATAGTTGAGCTTATTAAATGAGAATCATTTTGTGTTTGTTATATTCTATTGATTTAATTATACAGCTTACAAAACTGAGAGTTGAAATTTTTTTTTTTATGTTTATCCCCGTAAAAGAGCAAGATTTTTTATGTAAAGTTTCTTTTTCTTACGTTGTCTGCCACATACTTTCATAACCAATTGTTAATATTCATAAAGATTTTGATGTTCTTAATTATTATCATATTAATCGTTAACTCATAGACGCCCTCAATAGAAGAAAAAAAAAATCAACAATCAGCAGCATTTCGTTTCACATAGTTTAAGTATTTAATTGTAAGTTTACTTCGTGACACGCAAGACCATCAGACGAATAAAAATAATATACGTTCAAGAGCGATTTATTTGAGTAATAATAATATCCTGCGCCCAGTCAAATCGCATTTAATTGTTGTTCATTTACTCAGTTCGGATAATGAGACTGATATATTATTTCATTTAAGTTTCAATTTTTCTCGCTTATCATTAAGAGAGAATGAAGCATTTTGTAAATCATGAGTGATTAATCGGGCCATCGGGCATTGACATCTCGACGGCTTAATAAAAACTGCCACTTTGTAAAATATAACAATAAAACATTTTACGTGTCGACAATGTATCCAAGCTTATATTTTTTTGTTTTCCTTTCGTCCGCATCCCTCACTTTACCGCAATAATTTCTTTTGCGATTACTTTGGATTAAAAATTTTAATGACTAAATGCAATGAATATGACCTGAAGTGTAGCTTTTTACAAAAATTCTAAAATAAATACGTGTTAGCATGGTTGGAACATTTTTAATTGAATCGGGGTAAATAAAATGATATATATTATGATTCAAAGCAATTTAAAAATACGAATTTCTGTATGATTTTACACAACGATACGCTGGAAAAAAATTTAATTTGTATAAGTGTACAACGATGTTGATAAAGTTGTAATGTTATAACTGCATTTCGCATATTTTTCATTAGCGAGGACCGAGGACTCGAAAGTACGAAAGCCCGGTTACATCTGCATAAAAACGCATAAGCACGCACAAGAACAAGTATGAGTGCACATTGCACAAAAACACGATACGAGAAACGAGATACGAGTGCACGAAAGCGCGCACACAAGTTGCAAAGCAGACGGTTTCTATTTCAATTTATTTCAAAAGTACAAATATATAGGAGGTCGATTTTCGGATATAAGATAGATTGTAAACTTGCCGCACATAACACAAACAACGTCAACTTTTTATTTTCTATCTATAAGATTAGTTGTGGCTGGTTTATAATCAATAGTACTGTATAGTAATAATTATTTGGATCAGCGCCATCTAGCGGTCTTTATTTTTTGGCCAAAAGTGGCTCCTAAACTTTTCAGCCAGGGCATTAGCGCTTAGAGCTATTTAGTGAATTATAAACCAGCCGCAACTAATATGAGAGATATAAAATGAAAAAATAACGACACATGTGTTTTTGGCGGCAAGTTAACAATCTATTTTCTACCAAAAATTGACCTCATATGTATTTATACTTTTAAAGATGAATTTTCGAGTAAAAGATAAATTGTTAACTTGCCGCCAAAAACACATGTATCGTTTTTTTTTTATTTTATATCTTTCATATTAGTTGCGGCTGGTTTATAATTCATTAAATAGCTCTAAGCGCTAATGCCCTGGCTGAAAAGTTTAGGAGCCACTTTTGGCCAAAAAATAAAGACCGCTAGATGGCGCTGATCCAAATAATTATTACTGCAGTGCGACTAACTACTTACAGTAGAGCCATGTAATTAATTATAAACCAGCCGCAAATAATTGTGTATACGTAAAATAAAAAGTTGACGCTGTCTATATTATTTGCGGCAAGTTTAGATACCAATTGTTAAATACTTATTTTTTTTACACCACGTAATCGTGTATGGACATATTAATTCATATGCTTGAGAATTATATTTATTATTTACTTCACTTATTGTAGGATTTGTAGTCCATATTATATATACATATCCCACGACGCATATGTACACATCCTACAATAAATGAAGTAAAAAATAAATATAATTCTCAAGTATATGAATGAATATGTCCATACACGATTACGTGGTGTAAAAAAAATAAGTATTCAACAATCGGTATGGAAACTTGCCGCAAATTATATAGACAGCGTTAACTTTTTATTTCATGTGTACAAAATTATTTGCGGCTGGTTTATAGTTAATTACATGGCTCTACTGTAAGTAGTAATAATTATTTGGATCAGCGCCATCTAGCGTTGCGGATTTCTGAACTAAAAAGTGGCCCTAAACTTTTCAGCCAGAGCATTAGCGCTTAGAGCCATTTAGTCACTTATAAACCAGCCGCAACTTATATAGTAACTATAAAACAAAAAAATAACAATATATGTGTTTTTGGCGGCACGTTAACAATCTATTTTCTACCAAAAATTGACCTCATATGTATTTATACTTTTGAAGATGAATTTTTGAGTAAAAAATAGATTGTTAACGTGCCGCCAAAAACACATGTATTGTTATTTTTTTGTTTTATAGCTACAATATAAGTTGCGGTTGGTTTATAAGTGGCCAAATGGCTCTAGGCGCTAAAGCTCTGGCTAAAAAGTTTAGGGCCACTTTTTAGTTCAGAAATCAGCAACGCTAGATGGCGCTGATCCAAATAATTATTACTACTTATAGCAGAGCCACATAATTAATTATAAACCAGCCGCAACTAAATTGACAGAGAGATATTAATAAGTTGAAATCATTTAAGCTGTTTGCGGCAAGTTTACAATTTATCTTTTATCCGAAAATTAATC